TATTGTTTATAAATTGTCTTACAGGTATTTCAACTCACATTGATTAGTATTTAAACTTATTTATAAATAATTACATAATATTAACTGAGTTAAACATCTTCTAATTTTAAAAATTTATCCTAATTGTACCTGAAAAAAAACAAGCAAAACAAAAACCAATTTATTTTTTGGGGGGGGGATCTATTAAATCAATATGAATTTTATTATTTCTCAATTTAATTCTTTTATTTTAATTAGAATTTATTATAATGAAATCAAATAATTAAGTGATCTCCCCTCCCTCTCTCTCTCTCTCTCTTTCTCTTTCTCTCTCTTTCCATTCAATATTGTAACAAATAATTTAGTTTGTTTCATTGTCTATTATTTAATATTTAATTAATTTAATAAATTTTTTTCTTATTATTACAATTCCAACATTAAATTTTAATTTTTTTTTTGTATACAACATAATAATGATACTAAATAATACATTAAAGAGTCAATATAAGCACAGTTTGGTAAATTTGGACTTTTTTTCACTTTCATACAAACAGTTTTGAATGACAAAGGATAAAGTTTAAAATTATTTGATCATAATTTAATTTATATTATTTAATTTATATCAATTTTACACTATTGTTATTAATTAAATAATTATTGTTTATATATTAGAAAAATTTATGTCATACATAAATTAGGTTAAACATATGAATCATGAATTTTAATAAATTTTGAATTAAAAATTTCAAATTTTTTTTGTCATTGGTCTCATATTTTTTAAAAATACAATAATTTGTTATTGTTTTAATATATAAAAGTAAATCTTCTTCTTCTTCTTCTAATAATAATAATAATAATAACTATTCATCTAATTTTCAAAACTTTTGGAAAAAGACATTATTTTAAATAAAATTAATTATGCTACTTTATTTAATAAATTTCTTTTTTTTTTTGACAAAATAAATTAAATTTCAATTATTTTTAACGGTTAAAACATTTTCTAAATATTTAAAAAATATTTTTTTTTTAATAATATAATTTTATATAAATAATAATAACATTAGGTAATAATTTTATAAAATTAATTATATTTTAAGTTAATATATATATATTATTTTTACAAATTTTTATGTACAAGAAAATACAAAAAAAAATTTATTGCCATATATTTATAATTTTCCCTTTTGATTTTTATTTAAATTATGTATGTAGGTGAATAGGAACAGGTACGGGTAGGATGTGAATAGGTTTTGTGCGATTAAAAACGGTTTTTTGCGGGATCGGAATGGATCCGGTTCTTGTATGTCGTTTTGAATGTTTCGTCAAATGATCCGAACGCATAAATTTCATTGAGCAAACATTACAAACAAATTTTTTTTCTCCCGTATGTGTTCTCTTATGCCTGGAAAGTTCATCCGACCTTGAAAATTGACGATTGCATCCTTCCCATTGACAAGAAAATGGTTTTTCACCTGGTCACATATACATAAAATTTATCGTTAATATTTTCATTTATAAAGTATATGCACTTTACAATATTGGTAAACACATACCCGTGTGAGTTCTCATGTGTGCTTTTAAATGAGATGATTTAAAATAATTTTTTGTACATCCTAAATGTTGACATTTGAATATTCTTTGGCGTTTGTCCGGTAATGGTGGTTGTGGAATAAGGTTGGAAGGTGTTGGTGCAGCTGCAAAAACAACCACCGGTTGATTTCCTACAATTATATTACTGGGTGATATGGAGATGAGTTTACCACTCGTTAGAAAAACCGGTTTCGGTGCAATTGTAACCAGTGGATTATTGGCACACGTTGTAGTTTTAACCGTTTTTTTATTATTACAATTTTCCAGTCTTTTTTTTGATGTTTCTGTCGTGGAACAAATTTCAACAGAACCATCCTTCGTCGTTTCGTTGGTAACAACATCCTTTTTTTTACCATTATTATCTCCTAATACTTCTTTTTTAATTAAATTTAATTTATATTTTAAACTTTTCAATATATTTATCGAATTGTCTAATTCATTCCATTCGTTACGAGAATAATCTTTTTTAACCTCACAATTAACATTTTTTTCATTGTTAATGTCTTTGATTATATTTTCCCGAGGGTTCGATTGATGTTTTTCATCCATTGAAAAAGACAAATCAATATCGTCAATCGGTTTCGAACTTAGAGTTCCATCTTTATGAATTTTCATAATGACGCTAATTGGACGATATGGACGAAAATCATTTGTAATTTTTGGACTTGGTGTTCGTGGAGGTGTTTTACACCTATCGGATGATACCTTAAAAAAAAAAAAAAAGTTTATATGACGTAACAGATTTGATCGTCACCTTGTTAAAAAAAAAATCAATGACCATTATAAGAAACAAGTTTAGTTTTTTTTTTTTTTTTTTTTTTTTTTCTTTCTATAAATAATAATAATATTTATAAATATATTTTTAAAAAAAAACAAGTTATTATAAATTCTTACATCGTCTTCTTCTTCTTCTTCTTCTTCTATCCGTGGTTTTTTCGGTGATGAATTTTGATCAAAATCTTCTCCTTCAGAATCAGAAGGTTGAGGCGTGGGTAAACCACCTCCAGGTGCCAAATCCAATAAAAATCTTTTTCTAGGTAACAACGTACCTTCCAATTCTTTTTTAAATATTTTTATTTCTTCTTCGTTCTAAAAAAAAAAAAAATCATAAAATTAATAATAATAATATTTCAATTTTATTAATTCAAATTGTTGACAAACCAATTATTTATTGATAACATTAATCGGCCAAGGAATTTTAACGTAAATTCTTGAAATATCAAATAAATAAATAAAATTTAACTCCGTTTAATTTACGCAATTCATAATTTCTTTTTTCTTTTATTAATTCATTAATGAATTTTCTAATTAATTAATAAAAAAAATTTCATTCAATATTATTTATGAAACGATAAAAAAAAAAATTAACGGTTCGCACGTTCGCATCAAAACATTTGATTCGTTCGAAAAACTATTTTTAAAAAAATCTAATCTTAAATTATGATTTTGATTTTTCATAAAAAAAACATCCTAATTTCGTAAAGTAAAGAACTTTCTTGTAGTTAATGCCTTCTGCTTGAACAGAAACAAAACAAAAAAAAAATAATCGAAAATATCGCGTAAAATTTAGGAAGGAAATACTAATAATAATAATAATGATAATAATGATCGCCTGGATTTCTAATAATAAATTTATTTTATTATTATTATTATTATTTTGCAATGAGAATTTGGTTGTACAGTAACATAATTTTATTAAAATTTAATAAAAATTTATCTTGTTTGTAAATTTTTCAATGAAATATTTTTTTTAGTTTTACAAAAAAAAAAAAAAAAAAATATTTCCATTCGTTAACTTTATAAGGACAAGGTTTTAGAAAAAAAAAAAAAAAAAAGTTATTTTTAAATTTTTTTTATTCATTCTTCCGCTACCATTAATCGTAAAAAATAATAATAATAATGTACCTTTAGGTTTAAATAATAAGTAAAAATTTGTTTTTAGTCCCCCTCCCCCCCCCCCAAAAAAAAAAAATAAAAAATAAAAACAAATTAATTTAATTTTTATCTCACCTGTTTTGAAATTTCCAAAGATGCCATTTTTTCAATAATAATAATAAAAAAAATTATTATTATTAATAATAGTTCCTCTAATAGATCGAGTTTAAAATTTTTATTATTATTATTTTATTTTAAATTTAAAAAAAAAAAACGGTTTTTTTCACGTTATCACTTATCACCATCTAAAAATCATCACGAATTAAAAACGTGATTTAAAAAGCAAACATAAACATTTAATAATAATAATAATAAAACTTATGATTATTTTATTTTATTTTTGCAACTGTCAATAACGAAAGACACAAATGAACAATAATAATAATAATAATAAAAACACATAAATAAATAAATAAAAAAACTTTTTATTTCTCTTTGTACTCTCTACTCTCTCTGTTTTAACAAAATAAAATTTTAATTTAACAAAAAAAAAAAAAAAAAAAGTTTTTTTAGTTTAAAACTAAATATTAATAAACGGGACTCCCTGCGGCTACATAAGCGGCTTGCAATATAATAAAAACATTTCAATGAAGTTTTGCTACATAGGTGTGTAGGTCTCGGGTGTGCACGCGGGCCTACCAGACGGTGGCCCCATCGACCAATCAGAATAAGGGGCTTGACATTTTTAACCAATCCCAATGTTTCGATCACTCGAATCCCGCGTGATCGTGAGCGTGCTCTTCACGTGCACATTAAACGTCACTCTCACTATTTCAAAGCTTACGTCATAGTTTAACAGAACTCCCTAGTTTGTATCTTTGCAGTTCTCAGGTTTTTTTTTTCTTTTTATTTATAATTTTATTTATTATTATTATGTACGATCGTTTTTTTTTTGTCCGATAATAATAATAATTATTACGTGTTTACCTGTTATTGAATTATAATTTTTTTTTATCCCGTCGAAATGCCATTAAAAATCTTAAAAAAAAAAAAATTTTTTTTTTAATTAAAACGAAATGAATTAAAATGCAATCAAAAAAAATAAATAAATAAATAAATTTTATTTTTTTTATACGGTTTCGATATACGCAATATCGTCTTGCGCTTTATAGTGGAAAATAAAAAAAAAAAAAATTTTTTTAAATTTATTTTTCACGTGCCAAAAGATGGCATTAATATTAAGAAATTTTTTTTTTAAACATAAAATTTTTTTTTTTAAATTATAAAAAAAAAATAAAATAATTTTTTTTTTTTTTAATATTTTCCAAATTATTTAAATAATTTTTATATTTAAAAATATACTCACCGATATATTTTTATAATTTATTTAATTTTCCATTTTTCAATTTTTTTCCTTTATTATTAATTAATAATAATTAAAATTTAAAAAAAAAAAATTAATAAAAAAAAAATTTTCATTGAAATTAATTTGAAAAATGATTCAACGGTTAAAACAAATGTTGGTAGTTCTGTTAAAAAAAAAAAAAAAAAACCGCCAAAATTGTTGAGATTCTAATAGCAGACGATACGAATTTTGTTCATCGCACATGCGCAATACGCGTTTTTGTTGTTTGAATGTTGTGAATATATTGATACGAATTTATACAGACGATACAAATTTTGTATCGCGAATGCGCAATACGCGTTTGCGTTGTTCACATGTTGTGAATATAACGTAATCGTTTTAACTCGTTTAAAAATATCGTCTGATTCGAACTAGTCATTTGCGGACAAGTCTTGGCGGACGAACGTCATTTACCGATAAAATTAATTTGTAACTTGAATCTCGTTAAAATAAATCTCACATATTAGTTTTATTTAAAAAAAAAAAAAATTAGTTAATTATTAGTCGTTTATTTATCAAATGTAGTTCTTATATAAATATATATTAGTGATTTGTTTATTTAAAATACTTGTTTTTAATTTAAAAAAAAAAATTTATCGTGTAAATTTTAAGCGCGGTTTTTTTTTTTTTTTTTTTTATTGTACAATTCAAATTTAACCTTACCTCGTTGAAAAGCGCGTTTTTTTCACGACTGTTTTTTTTCATTCTAATGTAGTTTTTTAAAAATTAATCATGTTTATTAAATTACCATGAATAATTAGTTATAATAATAATAGTAAATATTTATATAATATAAAAAAAAACAATTTATTATTAATTGGTAATAGATTTTAATCGATGGATCTCCGGAATTTCGACTTGATAATTTTTACATAATGTCAAGACGGAAGCAAAGTAATCCGAAACCACTTAAACGTAAGTTTTATTTTTAAATTATTAATTTTTTTTTATTATTTATTTATTTGAAAAAAGTTAACAATTCATTGTTTATTGTTAATAACAACGGAAAACGTGAATAGTTATTATTATTAATTTTTTTTACTGAAATTTTACTCATTTTTCGGACGAGCAAGGTTTGTGTGAGTTACACATGGATTTAAAAGCATGATGATAATTAATCGTAATAATAATAATAACCTTTTGAAGGTTATTATGAAAACCATGTGTTCGATAATAATAATAATAATTGTGGAAAATTTTAATTAATACATATTTTATAGTAATAATCATACCAATAATTATTAATAAGCTGAGTAATATTTTTTAATATGATAAGGTTATCCTTATGAAATCAAATCTGAATATTATTATTATGAGTATACAACCCCAAATATTTTAGTATTTCACCCTTATTTTTCAGTTTAACTCATTTACTACTAAAGTACATGTAATATTATTTAAAAAAAAAAAAAAAAAAGTTTTTTTTGTTTTCCCCTGAAAATTTGAATGTGATTGCATAATTAAAAGAATTTGTAAACAAGTCATGATTTGAAAAAAGGTTTTTAATTGATAAAACAATTTTTTTTTTTTTTTTTTTATCAATAAGAAGGCCTAAAGATATGTGATAAATGATTTTTTTTATAAAATACAATTTGAATATTAAATATTACATAAATTGATCGTTTAATTATTTACCTTGTAAATTGACAAAATTATTAATTTGATGGTTAATCGATGAGAAACAAATCATTTGATGATATTGTAATCGTATATGATAATAATAATATTACATTAATGTGTAAAACATGGCATTTTCATGCACTCTAGGAAAGAGAAAAAAAAGAAAGAAATGATAAGTAAAGGAAAATGAAAGAAATAATAAATACAGGAAGTAAATTTTTTTTTTAAAATTCAATATCAATTGTTTTGTAATTTGATTAACGTTGAAATGAGTTAGTTAGCATCAGAAAAACACAAACAACAAAAGTTTAATCAAATCATTTATAAACTGTTTTTTTTGGATGGAAAAAAGAAAATAAGGATGATGATTATAAACGTGTAGTTTATATATATATATAAATATTTCGATTATTAATTTTTCGACAGTTTCAAAGACTATATATTGAAACAGATAACATAGAAAGAAAGAAAAAAAGAAAACGATCATCAGTTGTGGAAAAAAAAATGAGTATTACGCCCAGAAAAAAAAGAAAAAAAAAAGAGAAACGCTTTAAAACCACCATTTACAAACTAAGTTATCGACTTGTGTGAGTTTTTATCAAAATCTACATAAATATACAATGGAATGCTTTATGCATGATAGAGATAAGAACTTTAATGGAATATTATAAATAAAACATTACGGTAAACGAGTTTGCTCGTGTTGAAATTGATC